TTTTAATGCAATTGTTTTCGTAATCCTACCCCTTTATTCCTACAACGTCAAAATATTCTCCAAAGTAGCCGGTTCTCAATCACCCTGATTCTGTATTCGTTCTACAGTGTAAATCCCGTGCAGAATAACATATACATTCCTCTTTGTAATGTTTTCGCGAATAGAGGTTAGTTCCGCATTGAATCAGCAGCACATAAGCGGGAAATTTTGTTTTATGGCGACTAAAAGTATTTTAATTAAATACTATAAGTCATTTTGTAAGTTTGATTCAGAATTGATTATATTTATAATCTTTATTTTCAGTTTCAGGAGATACGTCAGCGGAAAGTAAGGGACCTCAAGCGCAGATACGTTTAGCTGTGAGTTGTGTAAAGAACTCCGTTGGAACTAAAAGTTAAAAACAGGTGTACTCCCTATGGGATTTGAGAGAGTGCACAGGATATAATTTATTTTAAAAGTTTAAATATTAATCAAAGTTTAAGTATGGCCAATACTCATTAAAATTACGTTTAAAATATGCTTATTTTTATAAACATTTAAATGTTGCTTAAGATCGCAAGATAGCAGAATACGGAAGAGTAATTATTTCAGTATAGAATACATGTCATTTGAAATTACATAACTCATAAAGATATAATAATGCTATTAAAACAAATTTTAAGAACCTACCAACCGACACGGACGATGGCGGCTGAATTTTTAACACTTTTTCGTATCAAAAGTGACCTTCCCTCGTCAACCAATCAGCTTCAGTCACTTGTTGCACGCTCGCTCTGTTAGACGGTGAAAGGTATAAGGTTATTTCAGGCGCAAGGTTGACGTCGACACGCAACTCCGCGATTTTGCCAAAGGACAATGTATTTTTTCATGTTGGCCATGAAACAATTTAAACCCAAAGAGCGTCACTGCATGTCATATACGTAATTCATCCGGGGATTGTTTAATAAATGTAATCATTATCACAATATAGATTTTCAGTAATAGGGTACCAGTATGATAATAATTTAATCCATCGCTTCTTAATTTTTTAACCGGAAAAATAAATAATGATTTTGGAAAAGTGCATTGGAATATGCACGTCTGTTTTCTGTATGTAAAAGCATTTCATATCTCGCCTCAACCGGTATCAAACTCACCGCGCACGTTCATGGCTCATTCTATTTCAGAAGCAATAAATCTCGTAGGTATTAGAATGTCGAAAATATTTGTTGTTTAATGCTTAAAATTAATATATTTACGTAACATTTATTTTTAGCAGCAAATACCAATAGTTGTAATGTGATTCAGCGCAAGGCTAGATGAATTTTTAAGAATGTTTCAATGTTTTAACTTAATTATGTACAAATGTCAGAGAAAAATCTTGAAATTTGCTTATGATGTGTAACCATTGAAAGAGTTTATCACGTTGCAGTAATCCATTAAAGTTTACTGAAAGGCAATACGGATTTAAACCGTCTTATTATGGGCCACGGTGGTTTAGCGGTTAGAACGCTGGCCTTGTAATCCTGGGGTCCCGGGTTCGATTCCCGGCGGTGCCAGAATTTATAACTTGTGTTGGGCAAGGCCGTGGTCTAGGCAACACGGAGTTTTCCTCCGGAGGCTTCCCCGGTTTCTCCGTGGCATCCCAACAATTACTCCATTCACACACAGAAGAAGGCAATGGCAAACCACTTCTGGATCATCTGCCAAGAACGTATATGAACAGGATGGAAGGATCCTGTTCATATGGACCTGTCGTCAGACAGAACACTAAATAAATAAAAATAATTATGGGCTACTGGCCGAAATTTAACTCTAATTTTAACTGCATAAAAACATGCTACTGCGACACTGATCAGGGATGATAAAAAATTAATCAAGGACTTCCATTAATTTCTGCTAGAGATAATCTAATCTAAGAAGTCAAATTGGCCGCTGTTTCGGTATTATTAATCACTGTAAGTTAAAATATTCACAGACAGGTTTGTCTGTAATAAAATGGGTTCATACATGATCACGTTCGAAGTTCTAAAGGCAAAGGATATTTATGGATGTATTAGCTGAGTCGTCGTGCGCTTCAAATACGTCATTTAATTTCTATTTTTGTCTTATTTTTCAGTGTATTTCTGAGTGCCTAGGGCAGAAAAAGGATTTGGTAAGTTGAAATTTATAAGAAAATAATAATAAAATAAATAAAATACTTACGGATAATACAATTTGTGTTTACTGAAATTCTCTTTTCCCTGACATAAAACTTATAGTGCAGATTCAAAACAAATATCTTAATTAAAGTCGTCAATTTACTTAATATATTTTGTAAATACTGCAATCTAGAGTAAAAGGCTAATTTTTGGACAAGTTTCAAAATAATTTTGATCCCTGTTCTTTAAATTTTTCATTGTATTTTAATTACGTGTTATAGCAGTAACTACTCCTTGAATACGCATCTAGTATATTACTTACCGATTTCAGGGCTCATTACACTCATGTGGGCATGTGTTGTTAGAATATCCGGGTTCCAAGAAATGTATTTCTAGTTAGAAAACCCACTATAAAATCTTCTAATACATCTGCTTTTTAACATTTACTCCGGATCATAGATTTGTCATCTTAAATTCAGTCAACGTAGTATCCAAAACTCGTAATTATTCTCTATCAGGTTTATAACATCGGAATTTCTTGTAGAACACGATATAATTATTATAAATCTTATTTTACCTTTTTGAATTTGTTTAGTTAACCATGATCTATACAATAAATTATGAAACAGTAAAGAAGGTTCTGGACTGGTCTTTCCGTAAAACTTCCTAAGCAGCACATATGTTAAACTTTACTGAATGTCGTATCAAAACTGTTGAATGTTCAAGAATTATTTTATAATGTGGTCTTGTGTCAAGTTTTTTTTTCTGACAGTTACCGATATTTAAGGGAAAACTAGTTCCTAGAACAAGGCGACGGTATGCGCCTTCTAAACTGTGGTATACGTGTACTCAATGTCATGACACAACAGACTGTAATTTAAAGTTTTACATGAAACTCTCAAGAAAGGCAACGCTGAATACAATATTTAAAATTATATATTAAAATGGCACGTAAACTATTTTGGCTATATAATACATCAAATCTGTATTTGTAATTAAAATGTTTTAAATATCTGTATTAAAATAACACCATTCCAGAACTTACCGTAATTAAGACGTATGTTAACGAACTACTTAAGATCAAATTTAACCCAGACTTCTGTATATGTAAAGAAACGTTGAAAAAAGCAAATTTTACAGTCTACTGCCAATCATTAACATCGTGACTTAAAGTAAACACAAAAGACTACTATTTAAATGTGATATCTGTCCATTTAGCCGTCACAGTGACCGCGTGGTTACTGGGACCGTGGGTTCGAATCCCACTCAAGCCATGGATGTCTGTCCGCGTTATTCTATGTTGTGCTGTCCTGTGTACAAGTAGAGGCCTTGCGACGAACCGATCCCTCGTCCAAGGAGTCCTACCGAATGTCTATAGATCAAGCCAACGAAAAGTTGGGACCCGCAGATGCTCAGGCACTGAAGAATGGTTTGTATAAAATAAAATAAATTAAATAATATGACCATATTATGGCGCGGATTTACATTCTTATGCACAGGCCTGTGTTTCGATATTAGTTTCTTTTATTGACAAGTATCTAGTATTATTGTATAACTTTCTGTGTAAATTACAAGCAATTTAAAGTAGACTACGTTATGTTAGATAAATGCAGGACAACCGAAATATTTTATTTCATTGACTCGTCTTAGGTTAAATATACAGGCTGTTAAAAACTCAGACCTAATACATATACTATATTACACGTTATAACAAGCTGTCTAGAAAAATATTTACCATATATAAAGCAGACTAAGGCAGAGTGATTTTTTTTTTATGTAAGCTCACAATATTTCTCAACTTTGAACTGATAGTTTGTTTGAGTCCATCGAATGAATTTGGAAAATTATTAATCATTCCATGCATAATTAAAATCCCGAATATGAATTACATTCAGCGTTCGTGACCGTCCTTCCCTAAATGCGCGGTTTGATTTAAACTGAAGTACTGACCCTCAAGCCCCTCGCTAACTACCTTCCTCTTGCCGGTAACAGGTAGATGCAAACGGCTATGTGAAGTTGAATGAATTCAAGGCCGCATATTTGGACCGTTTAAACGACCCAGCTTTGAAGGATGTAATCGAAAAGTGTGCCGATGAATGTGTTCCTGCAGCAAATGCAAAGGCTAAAGGTAACTGCAAATACGATCTTATTCAAACAAAACACCTGTGTAGCTTATGACAACCAAGTGCGCCATTAGACCTTGGTAGGCTACGTAAACTCTGGAGATTTCTGTCTTCTGGGTTGTTGCGCTGTGTAGTCCGGTCGATGTTTACCAACGTTTCAGAGGTCATACTGCCTCCGTCATCAGAGTATGAAGATTTCTGTCTTCTGGGTTGTTGCGCTGTGTAGTCTGGTCGATGTATACCATTGTTTCGGAGGCCATACTGCCTCCGTCATCAGGGCGATCGCCCTGATGACGGAGGCAGTATGACCTCTGAAACGTTGGTTAACATCGACCAGACTACACAGCGCAACAACCCAGAAGACAGAAATCTTCATACTCTGATGACGGAGGCAGTATGACCTCTGAAAGAAACGTTGGTAAACATCGACCAGACTACACAGCGCAACAACCCACAAGACAGAAATCTTCATACTCATCGCCCTGATGATGGAGGCAGTATGACCTCTGAAACGTTGGTAAACATCGACCAGACTACACAGCGCAACCCAGAGGACAGAAATCTTCAAACTTATAAAATACTTTTAGAGGTAATTTAGCTCGAATTAAGGTAGTTGGCGTCCTATGTCAGTTACGTTCTGTAACAGAATTTGAAGCAACTGAAGCAGATATGATGTTTACTTTAATGGAGCTGGTCAAAACACATTGGTTTAATTCATTGACTGAGGAATTTACGACCGGCCCATAAAACTGAAGGAACAGCTTTCAGGATCAAGCCGCTTCGATCTTTAAAGATTTTTCAACGTTGAAGGAAACACTAAACCTTCAGGTTGAATGTTCGTGGGAGATTCGGAAGCCTTGTAATATTTTACCGTATTAGTTGAATGAAGATACCTTATACTCAGATTCATTGATAGATATCTACAAGGACTTTCGAAATCCCCTTGTTCAAACGGCGCCTTGAATATGAAAACTACAGTAGTGCCTACCAAATGTCAGATAACATTCAACAATAATGATCCTTATACCAGAGAGTAAAAATTGTGCCACGAAAAATGAAGAACAATGAATGTCTGAACACGTTAGCAACCTCTGGTCATAATTACTTGACCACTTAGACCCTGGTTGTAGAATAAAGCTACACAGAACTCAGGGCCCATTAAATATATTACAGTTTTAAATTCCCACAGTGTAAATTTCTAGAAACTCTTATGTAGTTAGCTTGCCTTCTTGGGTAAAATACTTCTCTGGAAAGTTTACGTGAAAACGCACCATAATTATTGCAAAAGAATACGAAGACGTTCTAGGGTTAGAAAAGTTTTGTTTTTGAGAAAAACAGAGGAAATTAAACACAGCCAGGGAGGCCTCAACTCTATCGCATTTTAAGAAATTTTAGAGAAAAAGTTGTCATAAATGTCTGTTAAGTTCTATAAAGAATATAATATAAATTATTATCATAACGTTTTTCTACAGGGAACAGACAAAGTTTTGTGTTATGTTACTGAGAAATAGCGGCTCCTCGGGGCAAATATTTATTTATCTAACTATTTTCCTATATCTAGAACTTGGTCCAGCACAAGCAGGCGGGAAAACTTGCAATGGTGCCTTTGGAGCAGCAGTGATGTGCATGAGATTCAAGGCAGAAATGGTAAGAATCGAAGTATTTATCTTATTAACTAATAATCGAAATGTTCCTAAAGGTATAATATAATATAAATGCATAGGATTAAGAGTTAGTCTTATGATGGCTGTATCTGGGTTGTAGCGCCGTGTGGTCAGTGTGATCGCCCTGAAGATCGAGGATGTCTGAAACGTCGGTAAACTTCTGCCAGATTGCTACAACCCAGAAGACAGCCATCTTTATAAAATAATTGCTTTAATCTTGATATCGTTATGCTCAGAAGACTTATTACGTACTTTAAGTTTTAGTTTTCTAATAACATTTTGAAAAACGTATAAAAAAGTTTTCTGTTTCATACTCCCAGCTCTATATTTATGCTCACAGTAACAGAATAATGTTCTTTGGTTTCAGAACTGTCCCGAGAATCTACAGGTTAAAAGTAAGTACAAAACTTAAATATTTGGGAATTTCTAAAGCGTTTCTAATTGTATTGTGCCCCTTCGTCGCTGGGACCGTGGGTTCGAATCCCACTCAAGGCACGGACGTTTGTCCGCGTTTTTCTGCGTTGTGCTGTCCTGTGTAAAGATAGTGGCCTTGCAACGGGCTGATGACTCGAGCCGATCCCTCGTCCAAGGAGTAATACCAAATGTGTATAGATCAAGCCAACGAAATTTGGGACCCGCAGTGCTCAGGCACTTGAAGAACGGGTCGTTCCCATATAAGATGTAGAATTAGACGTTATGTGTGTATATATATATATATATATATATGTAAACAACGGTCGTTATAAAATTATTTTGTGCAAAATTTATTGTATGATAATAAATGTATCAGTTGTGGGATACAATAAATATCCAAAATTACTTCTTTTGTAATGTGTAATAAGTATAGGACAAACTCAAAATATGAGTAGCTAATTAATTATTCTGGGCGTGATGCTGACCACTCACCCCCAGATAGAACCGAGGTCAGGAATGAGTAGGAGCTATACTTCCACTCACCCCAAACGACCTATAGTGGGACGTACATAATTAATTATTAAAACAACTGAAACGTACAAACTTTGGTTACGACAACGAGCAAGAATGTCATAAAAGACGCAGTTAAGACAAAATGTATTCATAAGTTTGTGGTACTTTTCAGTTCAAAATCTTCTTCGAAATGTTTAACGTGTTTTATATTCGACCGAGAAATTCCTGCAAGGTCTTATAGGCAAACTTAAAGGACAATTACTGTTTAACAAGGACAGAGCTAGAATTTATTATAATAGTAAAATTAATCTTAAATAACTATGATATGAAGCTCTGGACAGGGGTGATATCAGATACAATATAAAACACAGTCCGCTCTTGTTAACACAACAAAGAAACATACGGGTTCCTAACTGAGTGTCTGTACTACATGTAAGTTGTAAAAATTTTGAATGTAACTATGAGGGAAGAGGACATTTTGAAAGTGAATACAGAATTGCCTACAATTGACCGAAAATAAAGTACATTGAAGAACAGCAGATGAGTTGGGATCCGAATGGTGGCATTTAAACAAACCAGCTATTAGCTACATTTATTTTATAACTCAGAATTATTAAGTTAGCAGAAAATGTCAATGCGGGATAATGAAAATAAGTAGGAGGAATATATAAAATTTCACTTACAAATTTTGCTGAAAAACCTGAAAGAAACATGCCATTTGAGAGGCATGGGGGAACATAGTAGAACAATTGTTTATTT